GGGGGCGTGGAGGGGGAAAAAGTTGCTATTTTATGCATGAAAACTTGTATTTTCACTGATGTTTGACTGTTCTTCAGCTCGAAGAGCTATCACAAAGCTGACTTCTACTCCTGAAGCCCGCATGTAATAGTGCTGTAACCATGTCCTCATGTGGGTGACCAAATGAACACATCTCACATACCTAGTCAGGTGACGTATTGTTTGGCAGTAATTTACAGCTGATGCATTCTAAGCATCAGTTGGGAAAAACTGACTCTGTGTCCGAGAAATACGTTATTTTATATAAATGACCCAGAAGTGTGCGCAGGACAACTACCTTCCTCCACAGGGAAGGTATAATCACAGATCAGTCAAATTCTGTCTGGTTCTGCAGAACTTGAGGCCTTTGAATTTCCTTCTGATACATCTGTGGTTATCAGATACAGCTTTTCTACAGCTATAAATAAGTTCCTTTATGAGAAAAGAGGAGATACCATATAAAAACTTCTGCAATTTTGATATGGTTCTTGGTTTGTTAGTTTTGCTTTATTTTTAAACATGCACTGTGAGAATTCACTTCAGTGATCTAATATGAATTTTATTGTTCAGTCTCATTACTAATTTTGTTTGGGTTTTTTTTTTTTTTTACTAAAATGATTCACGTGTATGCTGGCCTCCTATTTAGGCTACAAAGTTGATGTTATTTAAGATTAAATTTAAGTGAGAGAAACTTGCTTTGGAGTATTAGTAATTAGTTTGTAATGCTGTAGTTAATTTGCATGTGCTTCAGTTCTTGTTCCTGTTAGATTTAGTTTTAGTTATACCTTGTTTTCATTTTTCCACTTTTAAATGTATAATTGTATTAAAATTTGTTCTAATGGAAAGAGACTTGTAATAATTAAAGATTTATAGTCTTTTAAGTAGTCTTAGAAGTCCTTGTTATTGTAGTGTTCCATCTGGGTTTAGACATGCATATCCTGAACGTTTGCTAAGAGGAGGCATGTCAAACAATAGTGTGAGCAATTGTATTTAGCAGGGGTTTTTTGATTATTATTATTCAGTTGTTTTTTAACTGTAGCCTGTAGTATTTATGATTCAGTGACCATAACTCTTGCCGAAGAAAGAGATAAAGCTATATTTTTTACTGAATCATTCTATTATAGTAGGTTATTATAGTGAATTACAGTCTATCAGATTACATTTTGTAACTGATTAGTGAGATGAGTAAAAAAGGAATGGGATATTGTAAGTGGGCTTTTTTAAAAAAAAAAAAACAAACAAAACACAACAGAACAGAAAAACCCCAGCTTCAGAAATAGTTACAATTGGTTCTAAGCTGTAGTGATCACCTTCATTATTCTTTTAGTGAATTATTCCCATTCACCTAAGTTCTAAATGGCATATTTTATCTAAAATATATTTGATGATATTCAAATGGTACAAGTGCATCTTTCATTCGATTCACTCTTGAGTTCATCATAATGACTTTCACATGCATTCTTCTTCTCAATTATTTATATTTTCTGTACTCTAAGTTACTGATCACTTTCTGAGTTAAGCATATTACTAGATTTTATATGCCAGTAGGCAGCATATGTTGCAATTTGACAGTGTACAAAGGCAACTTATTTTGTGGCCTGAAACCACAAAAAGCAGGGACATTCCCAGGGGGGTGAAAGGTATTTAAACTAGCCTTCTGTAACCCATACTTAGCATGTATTGCAATATAATTATATATGACAGAGTGGTCCGCTTGCAGGCTGCCTGGCTACTTCCTATTCCCTCTGCCTTCTTGAGATGACAGAAGACAGCCCAATCAACCCCTTATCACCTTATGCCTGTCACAAACCAAATGGAGAACAGGACTGTTCCTGTTGTACAACAGAGTATATAATCTGTTGAGAGCAGTTGCTCCTTATAGGGTGAAAAAGGCAGCAACTTGGTTACCTGTGACTCCCGTAGCAGAGCTGGATCTCTGTGCTGTGTAAGAACCAAGAGATGCACTCAGTCTCTGTATCTTGAAGGATGGAAGGCAACTGCTGAGGGTAGGGCACAGAAAAGTGTGCTACCCTGGGCATGGTTACTGAGGATGAATCGTACTGAACAAAGGTATAGCATGCACAAAACATGCAGCAGCCTTTAACTTGAGATTTAATTTCATATACTTGGAATTTGAACGACTGTACGGCATTTAATACCAAGAGAAGTCTTCAAGATGCACTGGTTACTGCACAAGTGCAATCTGTATTTTCATTCAAAAAAAACCCCGAACCAAGTAGCTTGCCTAGAACTTTGATTTTCGTGCTTAGTTTTGTTGTGGATTTAAACATTACAATTGAAAGGGGGTTTTGACTGCATAAATTCTAAGGCAGATGCACTAAACAATAACCATTTTCAGTTGGACATCTCTGTGAGGAGAGTTATGGCAGAGTACCGCAGTTCCTCCCTGCCTGCTTGTCAGCTTTCCATGGAGACATGACCCAGTGTGTGGGCAGCTCTTCTGAGTTGACATAACGAGGATTTTAGCTATAGTCACTGAGTGTTGCGTATTGTGAGAAGTGATTATCAAAGCAAAATCATCTAAGATCATGTTTAGATCTACTCTTGTTGACACTATGCTGAATCAGTGAAGATAAAATATTTAGCAGGTTTGAGCTGACTCTGTGCTTGCCTTTCACTAATGATTTATTTTCACCAGTTTAGGTTCAGCAAACCAGTCCCAGAATGAAAGTTCTTAACGTTGTTTGATGGGTTACAAGCGTATGCAGTGTAACTCTGTGGCATCCTTAGGGATGTAGGAATAGGGATATGTTATAATCATAGCTTCAGTTCTTTGGTTGTCATAAAATATGCAAAGTTAAGTGTTTCACTGGCTCTGGGCAGTTGTTTTACACAGGCAAAACACAAAGCAAGCAATGTCTTTTATGCAGGAAAATTTAGCTTCAAGATGACAGTACTAACAAAAACAATCTTCCAACATATTTATACTTGTATTTTTTTCCCAGTGACTTTCTTTGTACAGCCCCACTCTTTGTATTTGCCTCTAAAAAGTAGTGGCTGTGTATTGGTCATGATGATATTTTACTTTTAACTTCAGAAATCAGTTTTTAATGTAAAAACTGTGTTGATCATCATAGTCAAATGGGAAGCTTTCTCTGTGTTTTTCAGCACCATACTATCATTTGTTTTTTTCCAAGTTAAGTATGTTTGTGTGTAACAGCTTTTTGGCTTTTCCAGGTTCTTCTATAGCCTTTGTGAAAATGCAAAAGTAATAAAGCAAAACTAAAAAGCTAAAATGTGGTAGTAAAGGCAACTTCCTGTGTGAGGATTTTTCCTACTGAATCACTCTACATCTTGAAATTTTTTTAGGTTTGACCACCCTGAATAACTGTGTGTTGTTTGAAAAATTTGTCATCTCCTTGCTCTCACTCATTCCAGATCGTAGTGTTAAACATGTTCTTAAGTGTATCTATTTGCAGGTTCTCTTGGACTATGATAAAGAAAAATGACTATATTTTTAAGCTTTCTTTCCAATTTTTAACCATTTCCAAAGCAAGAATTAACATCTAACATCTTAGAGTTTCTTAGAGCCTTTATTAAGTGACTTTGCTGAAGTCCAATTACACCATATCACCTTTATCCTAGTGTATCTCAGCTCTTCCACAGAGCTCCTCTGTTACTGGTTTTTCTGGGATGTGGCTTCCCTCGAACAAATCTACTCATTTTTGCCTAGGGTGCCTCATACATAGAAGCTTACCTAATTTTATTTGTCTTTATTGGTGCTATGGATTTGCCTAATACAAACTCCTAGCTCCTGAAATGCCTTTGTAAAACTTGGGTCACATTTGCTGCTTGTGTACAGAGGCTGATTTAAGCAATAGATGATTCTGTATTGAAGTATTTAATATATAGCATTAATGTGTAGTCTGGGAAAGTGTTTCTCTTCAATATTTCTTCTAAAACGTTTTTTTCTGAAACCTTGTCCATTGATACTGTGCATAGCTTCCTTGGTGCTCCTTCTCTACAATCTATAGAGAACAGCTATCATGCAGAACACATCTGGTCAATAGAAATAGGTATGGGTGTTTAACACTTTCCTATTGAAAAACATGGTAACTAGATTTCACTGCTAAAATCATTAAAAACAAAAAAGCCTACATAATACTATTCACATGATGGACCAGAATCTTGAATTTGTACTGCATGACTATTTTCCTATTGTCCTTTATGTATTTAGTGTATGTATACAAAATAATATTATAGTAACCAAATAAACATTACATATTTTACAAAAGTATGCCCAGAATACTAGAGTCATCTTTTGTCCTGTGGAACATATTCCTATTTGCCTTTGGCTTTTAAAGTTTCATTCATTTCGTTGAAGCCCTGTACTGTTGATCTTCTGAAGACCTCTTAGTCTATTTTTGCAACCATGTAGTGTTCAGGGATTGCAATCTTTAGAAATGTAAGCTCTGGTTTTAACAGAACACTTTATTCAAAAGAATTTTAGAATTCAAATTTTGTTCAAGCCACACTGAGATGTTCGTCTCCATCCTCTCCCATGTTGCCATCCTGGCCCAGTGATCAATGTCATCAATCAACTACTTATAGTAGAAAAAATACAGGCAAGGAAAGAATGATGAGGTAATGTATATATCTTGTGAAATGACAGTTTATAAACTCCACTAGATTTCCCAGAGTTGATGTAACTATGTAGAACTACTATACTGCATAGGAGAATTGCAAAGGATGAGGAACATGCTATTCCTTGCACTGTACAAATACAGAGCCAAAACAGTTCTTACTTCAGCATACATACAAAAAGACAACAAGATGATAAAGATTGTGGGGAAAAAAAAAATTTGCAATTCTTGTGAGAATCAGAAGTTATTGTACAAATATCTTACTTGCCAAAAAAAATCCAGTTACCATTGTACTTATATAAAAATTACATGCTCATAGGAATCTCTCACTTGAAGATCAAGAAATCCTACCTTTTTTTTGTTTAAAAGCCAAACAAACAAAAACACCCACTGGCTGATCATTTGTAATTCGTTTATACCCAATTTCATCAAAACTGAAGTAAAATCACATAAAAATTGAGCCAAGTTTATATAGCAGAAGTGAAGTGTTATATTTACTTTGTTCAGTATGAGTTTTATGAGTAACTTTTGTAAACCCAGAATCTTGTACAGAATTAGTAAAAATCCACAAATTTTGACACAGGTTTGGCATGAAAAGTGACATTACCCATCAGAGAAGTTACTGGTAGTGATATTAAAACCAGCTTCTTTACATCAGCCTACTTGAGCAATATTGCTTGTATGTGTTCAGGATAATAAATCTTTATTTTATGGAGCTTAACACCTAGTGTTTAATTGGTTCACCTTTCTGGCCTGTCATGCCAGACATTTAAGTTGTTCTTGGGATAAAATGTTTGCTATTTAATAAAATTAATTGTATCCTCTGTAATTATAACTGAATTAATGGCAGCTGCATTCTTCACCTCATTTTCAAACCACATATGTTACTGAACTGTCAAATATTTTCTTGGAAAAAATACTTCTATAAATGTAGTTAAAATGCTTATGTATTTGAAACCTATTAAAATAGAGAAGTACATAAAATCTGTAATCATTTATATAGCTCTTTTGAATAGGACACGAATTATTTTTTGCAAAATTCATTATTTACATACACAAGTTTGTTATATTAATGTCTATATACAAGATTCCTTATACAGGTTCAATCCACTGTAATGGGAATCTCCTTAAAGAGTTAGTGTTCTAGTTTAGTCCAACAGAAGATGTCTGAGAACTTCCTATTTTGTTTTCTTGGATAAACATGAGCGAAGTACTTCTGAAAAGCAACTTCTCATTTTCACAAACAGAAGTAAGACTTCTCATTTTTTTTACCAGGAAGAAAAAGGCATGATTAGTAGCTGTACAGGATAGCATTTGGTAATCTTAAATTGATGTGATGATGAATTGATGTAAATCCTGAAGCAACAGAGAGAAACTAGTATCCATTCCTTTAAACAGTCAAATCAGAGATTTCTTCTTTGAAGAACTTGAGTGGGGAGTGGTACTAGAAAATCGCTCTTGTGTATATTGTCCAAGTTTTATTTCTGAAGTACTTTCCAGTGTTAGGCCTGAATCTCCATGAAGTCTTCTGCAGATAAGTTGGAATACAGTCTTACGGACACTTCTGGACATTAGGAAATACATAACTGGGTCTAAGCAGCTGTTAAAAGATGAGAATATGAGCATCACCTCATTGCATTTGTGAATGATTTCCTTCCAGTGACAAGATGGATTTTGTAACTGTGATGTAATGTAGACAAACCGGAACATGTGGTAAGGAACAAAACAGATGGTGAAAATAATAAGCACAATGAAGGAGTTTCTTGCTGTCTGTGTGTATTTTCCTGCGTTGGGAAAATTTGCTCTTTTCCTTGAAATTTTCAGAAGGTTCTTAGCAATTTTAACATATGAAAGTATCAAAAGGAAAAAAACTATCCAAAAAATTATTACAATAATGTAATTTAAAATTGCTTCTGTCTTTGCGTTCTGCTTATTTCGGTAATGAAAGCACATAGTAGAATTACTGTTCTCACTCTTAAAGAAAGATGGTGTAACTACTATTATAAATCCTGTTAGTGCAATTGCCCACACCATGCAACAAATATGTATACTTCGTCTAGTAGTTAACATTTTAGGGCGCTTCACAGACTTATTTATTTTTATATAACGATCTAGACTAATTAGTCCCAACAGTACTATGCTAATATACATGTTCATATAAAATAGAGTTCCTACAATCTTGCATAAAATCAGTCCAAACATCCAGGTGTTTTTGGTAACATGATAGAGTATTCGGAATGGAAGACAGAAGATCAGGAGAAGGTCTGCAACGGCTACATTTAGCAAGTAAACTTGGATAGAATTCCTTTTCTGATGAATGCACAGGAAAGCAAACAGGGCTATAATATTTCCAACCAATCCAACAACAAAAATAATAGAATAAAAAACTATCAAAGCAAGTGACAGTGAGTTCTCATCTAAGGGACAAGTGGCATTGTTTTGAATTTCCGAGGCATTTATGGCTGGGTTAGTTTGGTTACTCCAAAAGTCCGCCTTGTATGGAATAATGGTCAGTAAATCAGCTGAAGCTGCACCCATCATTTGCGAGGATTTTTTTTTTAGCTGTTCTGTAGGAATGCAAAGAGAAATTTTATGAATTAAATCATCATTGGATCATTTTCATGTGTTTGCTTGCTTTATTGCATACACTCTTATAAACATATAAACCTGCTTATAAACATAAAAGGCAATTGCTAAAACAAGTAAATGCATCAAAGTATCGTTGTAGCTGAGTAGGACTTTGATATGGGTGTCATAATACAGTGTAAGTCTAGAATAACCAGTTCCCTGTTTTTCTTCACAAGAAGTACGCAAGAACAGATTGTACAGAATACTCACACAGATAACCATTTTTGTAATTATATGGTTATAACTGTTTTTATTGTTTTAAGGATCAACTATTTTCGGTTTGCTACAAACTTTATAAATTTAAATGTTTTATCTCTAAGTACAAATAATTTTTTTAAGTTTCTAACACAGAAAACTTTAATTAAGATACAAGAATGAGTTAGCATACCTCAGTGAAGTATTCTCAGTGTTGATACAAAGTACATAGAAATATATCAAAGCAATTCTAAACTCATCAGTATTAATTTTAAATAAGTACACAGGATCTCTCACATGCAAGTCACCAGTTTTCAATTAGAAAAGCAATTGTAAATTAGTATTTATTTGGCTATGTAACCTGTTAGAAGTAACACTGTGAGTCAGCTTGGTTTTAATACTTTGTATCTTCATGTAAATTTAAGTATTTGTTCCTTTTCTTAACTGTTCACAAACCAATATTATGCAAAGAAACTAGTATTAGCTGGAAACTGCATTAATACAGTAACACTGTTTTCACATTTTCCTTGTTTTCATTGTTTCCTTCGTTTTCATTTCGAAGTTTTTAATTTCGCTAAGTTTGCTTTTGACCAGGAAGGTATAATGTGGAAGACAGAAATCAGTTTTGACCAAACAAGGAAAAACAAAGAAGTGTGTGGTTAGGAGAGCAGAATCACAATTAGTTGTTTAGAGAGATGGTTGACTGATTGGTAATGATACAACTTCGTCCTCAGTTTGTATTTTGTAGTGATAAAAGATTCCACGAATAAGTTTACTTTAGGTTTTTTTTGTGTGTGTTTTGTTTTAAAGGGGCAAGCTTTTTTCTCCTGATCTCACAAAAAATTTAGAATTGGTTTTAAAATAGTTTTTCATCTGCATGCTAGGTCTTAAAAATGCAGAATTACATTTAAACGTGTGATATGGCTGCAGCAGTGAAAATGGCAGCATTTTGGGTAAAAATCTTAGTAAGAATTAATGCACATACAGAATCTGAATTATTGAGAGGACAAACTGAAATATTTTAAATGCGCTATGTTGGTTGGCCTTACAATTATATTAAATTTGTACAATATGTTTGTACAATATGTTAGTACAATATGTTAGCAGTTTCAAAAATATTTCTGTTTTCATGTTGTCCAGGCAGGAAGAAATTTTAGAAGTTTCATTAAAGAATGTGATGCTTTCAAATACATCTTGAAACCTATCTACTACTAGAATTTCTTGTTTATGTTGCTTTTCTGTAAAACTGATTGACATCATGACTTGCAAAGTATTGACAAGTTTTAGGTAAATGAAAGAGAAAAATCTATTACATTGCAGATGCATTAGAAACAACTTTTCACTGTCAGAAGTTTTGTCATCTGTAAGCAAACAGGCATGCTTAACCCTAGGTATATTTAAGAAAGAGTTTGAAGATCAGTAGGGGCTTTGCAGTTTAACCTGCTTTAACCTTTGCAGTTAACAGAAATTTTGATAAAATTTTCGTTAATATAGCTGAAGTATAAAAGAAGTCACTTACCATTTATATATTGAGAACGTCTTCTGATTTTCAAAACCACTAGTGAAGACAGGGAGGAGTAACATGCAAGTCCTCTTATTAGAAAGCTAGATCACCAGCTTCTCTATGAAAGTGATGAGAATCAGCTGACATAGTACAATTAGCAACAACGGGAAGTTTCACTAGTGTTGCAACTGTTTTGTTGTGGGTTTTTTTTTTTAATGTGTTTTAACTAGCAAAACTCAGTTTATTGAAAACATCAATTTTGCTGTTAATTTGGGGTCTGCTGGGAGAGGTTCTATAATAAAATGTTCTCTGAGTTTCACTCTGAATTGGAGATTTGGATTTTTTTCTCAGAAGCTTTGTTTATGATGAGCAGTGTCTTCCTTCCTTTTTGGATGACAATTATGTTGGTGCAGCCTGTCATCTTTTTAATACTGTCATGAAAATAGATTAAAGATAGATTACACCACTGTAAATTGGTACATTTTGCTTATGTTAGGGTAGTTCTTCCATCTACCTTCTTGCCTGGGGTTAGAAGTTTGAGGTTGATCTTTTTTCCACTCAAAATGACAGCGATGAGAGATTATGAAAGTGCCCTAAGTGTGCAGCTTAAGAATTTCAGTGAGGCAGAAGTGAAATACAACATGCAGAGATAATACCATCTGGTAATATTATTTTAAATAGGGTGTAAGGGATTGAAAGTTACATTTATAAATTGCAAATTTAGAAATGGATTCTAGAAGTCCTTATATATGGTAGCCTAAATTTAATGATCATCTCAAGAACACTGTCTTGGCTTAGTATTCTCCTTAGCATTTGAAATTACAATTTCCATGTTAACTTTGTTAATATGTCATCTCTTTAGGAATCAAGCTTTTGTGGGATTCTGCAGATTTCAGTTAGACTTGTAAACAGGCTCTCTGCATTCTTACTTGAAGACACTCATCTTGTACAATTGAAACTTTTTAGAAGAAAACATGGGTGATTGCAGAAAATTATTTTAAGTAGTCAGATTGATCTTGTTGTAGCTCCTTTGCGCTATTTCGAGGTCCTAGGTGTGTAATTTAAGCAGTAATGTATTCTCAAGAAAGATTATACACATTTGACATTCTTCCTTTTAAATAATGTGGTTGACTGCAAAATGAGGCAGGAAGTCATTCTGTATCAAATGCAGTATTTTGGCTATATGTATTATATATTAAATTGTGTTCTAACAGATTATGTCTTTATGTTGCTTCATCCTGCACCAGTCAGTATCCATCCAAATTGTTGTGTAATATTATTCCATTTTTATATGTTACACCTCAGTCTTACTAGTGGAAAGACAGTGGAAAATCAAAGGTATGGATGACTGCACCTGGAATCCAGTTTAGAAGCCTAAACAATTCGCCTCCCCACCCTTCACACCTCCCCCCAAAATATTTATTAGAAACATCACAGGGATGTTCCTTTTCTTTCCTGCAGTTGGAAAGTGATCAGTGAATTCTGATTAAGGCTGAAAATAGTGATTTATGTTCTCTGTATGAAGGATAAGATCCCACAAAGTGTATCATAGATAGGATATTTCTGCTGGAGAATTGAAACAGTGTAAGGATGAAAGGTAAAAAGAAATAATACTGGGTGAGAAATTATAGGTGTTAATTTTTATCTCCATTTTATTATGATTTCACTTTGTGTTCATTGTGAATTCTGATAAGTCCTGAAAGGATTTTGCTGTGCCTGGGACAATTGAAAGGGAAGCCAATGAAGAAAGAGGAGATCATACCAGGGAAAAAAAAAATACCGGAAATTAAGAAATACTTAAATAAATAAAATCTAGCTTCTGTTTGCAAATTTTATGAAATCAAGTTCTAAAATGCCAATTTTATTTCTCAATTAATAAGATAATTTTTCTGGATTTTTGTCTTTTCAGCCACACTGTGTACTGCTTGCCTCAAAAGAGAATTCAGCCCCAGTGAAGCTTGGTGGCTTCGGGGTAGCAATTCAGTTAGGAGAGTCTGGGCTAGTTGCTGGAGGTAAGTTTTCCTTTGAAGTTATATTATGCATGTTTCATTGCAGAGTTCTACAGACTGGCCTGCAAAACAAGAACTCAAAAATAATCTTTCACTAAAGACTGTTAACATTATAAATGCACACAGTTAAGCTAAATTGCTAGTAGTGTGCAACGATGTGCATACATATACTGACTATTAAATCCCTCTAAATGTTACTCAATAGGAGCTTACGCTGATTAGATCAAAATAGAATTGAAAAGAGCAAAGAATTTTCCATTTTAATACAATCTTTGGCATAATTCTTCCATGCTTGACAAAACAATCAGATAAAAATGCTATCAGGACTGAAACATATGTGAAAGCAATTGAGTAAAGACTTACTACAGCATCATCAATGCTCCCCTGTTTCTTAGGCAATTTCTGTCAGAATACTATGCTGTTTAATAGCAAAATCTTACTAGTTTTCACGTGACTCTTTTCTATGTTTTAATATTTCATTGTAATTATTGCATAAAACATCAATATTTTGATGCGTATGTATATTTTTTGACTGTGTTTTGTTTTCTGTGGATTTTATTTCCTCTAGCTGCCTTCCATATTGTTCCAGACAATAGGGTTATGCTTTAATCAGCCTGCACAGATGAAGACCCCATCAATTTTCTGGTGCTTTCATTGCCAGAGTAGGAGACCACAGCAAAAGATTTTGATAGTTTTATTATTTTTTCTTCAAAACAAGTAACCTCCTCTCAAGCACTATGTTTCTTCAGAAACTCAGATTTCTTAATCTAATTGCTTAAAGGTCTGCGTCAACTTGGCTTTTCTATTCTCTTTAAATTAAAAAGCAAATCCAACATAAGCATGCCAACAGCTTCCATTCCCTTCCTGATATTACTAATACCCTTGAAATATCCAAGTATCTTATTAACTAAGAGACCTAGATACATCTTTTCAAAGAGAATACCCATTCAGTTAAGCTACTGTTGTTTCCTTAATGAAAAGGTCACACTCCTTTCTTTACTTTTCCTGTGTTTCTCAAATTTTCTGTACCCCAACCACTGCTTTTTTTAATGGGAGTTCCTACACTTTTGTTTATGATTCTCTCACTTTTCTTCTTCATATTCTCACTGAGCAACTTTATCCATTTCTTCTGTTTCAGCTACTCTTCTGAAGGTAATCAGATATAGTGTACTTTCTTTCAGACTACAAGCTGTCTTGTAAGAAACCTCAAGTTCAACTTGGAAAAAAATACTGTGCTTTCCCCCCGATTTCTCATATCCTTCCTTTTCTGTTACTATTCACTGTTCCGTGATCCTGCACATCGTTCACATGCTCAACCTCCATGCAGTCGTCAGTGCTGTTCTAGTCTTTCCTTTTTTTATGTGAAAATGTTTTCGTTCCTTTCTGTTCTGTTTATAGTACTTCTAGAAGCTTCTATCTTAAGCATCATCAGTATAATAATTAATAAT